AGTGTCCCTCCCGGAGGGTGCCTTTTGGGGCAAAACCAACCCCCCCCCCCCATTTCTCTGCCAGCCATGCTGGGCTGGGTGGGTGGGCATGGCATGGCTCAGTGAGGGAGGGGTGAGAGTTGCTTTTCCCCAGAGGAATTTTGGAGAATTATTATTGGTTGTGTTTTTCATTCTGTTTTTCTTTTAATTGTTAGCTGCCTAATCCTGTATATGAGGGGTGGCCATATAACCTTGTTAAATAAATAAACTCACATAGTAGGCGAGCTTAAGTCCGCCCATGTCTGCAATGTTCTCGCCCAGTGTGTGTTTCCCATTCACCTGCAGGAGGAAGAAGAGGAGGGAAAAAGTCAGATTGTACACCCTTGGACACCTGGGGGCTGCTTCCCATGACACGCTTAAGCTGGTGATGGGTCCACTTTCTAGGTTCACAGGCCAGGGCATGTTAGGTGAAAATGCAGGTGGAGAAATCTGGCCAGGGCAGGTCAGGCCGTCCCTTGAAGGCCTGGTCGAGTTTATTTCATCGGGCATATGAACACCTGCATGAACCCAGCCAATCCTAAATGAACCCACGGGCTGGCTTCTCTAAGCCACAATTCACAAGCATACAAAATGACCAAGCTTAAAACGGGCCATGGTTCACCTGCTGCAGGAATGCAGGTCCTCCGTCTTCAACTCGGCAGCCTGCAAAGCTGTGCGCACCTCAGAATCGCTTCTTAACGAAGGCTCTTTTGAAAGAACGCCCAACCCGTGTTCATAAGGAAAACCCTGGTCAGGCATTTTGCACATGGGGGAAGCTACGCAGCCCCAGCCAAAATGCCACCAGGCAACTCTTGGAGGGAAGGGGGTGCGCTTGGCAGAATGCCTCCCCTGGCCTGGCATCAACCCCACACTGGTGACGAAACGCTCCAGATTGTGTCCATGGCAAAATTGGGCATTGGGCAAAGAGGAAAAACACTCTTTTAAAATTGGAACAGCGAAGGACTGCATGAAGTGATTTCAAGTGCAGGCTGGGGATGAGAAAAAAGGCAAACCATGGCAAAAAAAAAGAGGTTATTGGGGCATTTTTTGGCTGTGATTGGGGATAAATGGGAAACAGCACACCTCACAAACGGATTACAGGTAGTCCTCGTTTAGCGACCACAATTGGGAACAGCAACTTGGTCGTTAAGCGAAGTGGTCGCTAAGTGGAACCATGACTGTGCTTATGACCTGACTTCAGCTGTCCTTTGCTTTACAGACCTGCAAAGGTCGTAAATGTGAGGATGGGTTGCAAAGTTACTTTTTTTTAATCACCATTGTAGCTATGAACAGTTGCTGTACAATTCCAGAAGTCTTTGAAAACCTGGCTGTTCACCCAAGCCCTGGGGTGTGTATAATGGGGTAGAACTCCCCCATTTGTGATGTTTTATGTTTGCTCTGTTGTTGGACTGCGGTCTTGTGATTATCCTGTAGTTATTTCTGTACCGTTTCAATTATTTTTTTTTTTTGCGTTCTGCTGTTTTTCTGTTATTTATTGTTGTGAGCTGTCCAGAGTCGGTAGAAATTGGGTGGCCCCCAAATAAAAAATTAAATTAAATTAAGTTAGAAGAAACTAAAATAAAATAATAAAACGTAACACAAAACACAAAAACATAACTGTTCAGGTCCCAACTTCATAGCCAAAATCCAAATGGCCAAATTTGGAAGTTGGACAAATTTCACATCCGGTATTTGAAGGCTGCAATTCAGGGAGGGGGAAGACCCTTCCCCTGTGAGCGAAACGGGTCCGGGCATCCCAGCTCACCCTCTGGTTGTAGACGGTGAAATTGTCATACAGGTTCACAATGCACTCCGCCTTCTTGCGGAACTTGCTGTAGGAGGTGTCTGTCCACCAATTCATCAGGTTACCGTACCGGTCGTACTGCCCGCCTGCAAAGCAAAAGCTTGGGGAAATGACAGCTTCCTCGGGGTCAGCAAAACCAACAAGTTGCTTTCACCCACAGCAGCAGCCGATGAAAGTGTCTGCCTTTTAATAAAATGTGTTAGTTGGAAAAGGCGCTATCAGACTCCTGATTTCTGGCTTCGTAGAACACGGTTCTCCTCCCACAAAATCTGCTTGGGATTAGTGTGTGTGTGTGAAGCATTATTTCTCAGTCTCTCCCTCTTCCTCTTCCAAACGCTGACCTTTGTTGAGTTTTAATCGGATCTTCTCAAAAAAGCCCCCAAAATATAGGTTAGGTTCACTCGACATCCTAAACCTGAAACTTATGGCTTGGGCCACTTTGACTTTTATTTTAAAAAATCTGTTCTCAGCTTACAGAAAGCAGATTTTTGTACCCTGTGGCACACCAGATGCTGGCTTCCCTCTCCCACCACCCCAACCAGCAACTCCGTACTCCCAATGCTAGGATTGTTCTTAAGCCTGTTTAGATAGTACTACTTCGGGGAAGAGCGCTAAGAAGGAGAAGTGAAATGGAGCTGCTGAGGCGCAAGCCAGGGCGTCCAGGGGTGTGCGTGCACGCGTGCGTGAAACTCTGCAAGATGACCAAGGTGTCATTCCTGTCGAAGCCCTGCCCTTATTGTGATGCTGCACCACCCTCTTAAATTGAAGGGCAACCCCGGAGCTCTGGGACGCAGCCTCCCATCCCTTCTTCTTCCCCGGATCCCAGACTGCCCTTCTGCAGAGGAGAGACGTAAAGAGGAAGGAGAGGGATCTCACCCCAGTCATCATAGCCATGCGTCAGCTCGTGCCCGATAATTGTACCGATCCCCCCATAGTTCAAGGACCTGTAGGAGTGAGACAAACATCGTGAGCTGGTCGCGGGGTGGAGAGGAGACTCAGAGGATGGGAATCTGACCCTAAGCCTTGCAAATACGGAACGCCTGGAATTCTCCGAACCCCGGAAACAGGAATGGATGTTCTCAAAATGCTGCAGAATAGATGGCGCCTTCTGTAACCCATAGGCAGGAAGCAAATTCCCCACTAAATCCGGAGAAAGTCAGAAAGAAGATCAAAGGCATTAAGGAAACCCCACGGATAAAGGAAGGCTGAAGGACCCACCGCCAGTCTCCAAGGTTTTCTAACCTAACCCCTTTTGCCTTGCAGTAAACCTGCCTAATGAGATTTGTAAGAATCGAGCTTCCTTGGTTGGGGTTAGGGGGCCTGATAAATCCGTTGCTGGAAGCAAAAAGTAGGAAGGAGTCCAGCGGCATGAGGGTCCCCCCTGCTTCCCAGCAGAATTTTCATTTCAGAAAGAATAAGAAACATGATTCTTCCTCCCCGCCCCAAGAGGTCGAACGCAGATGGCGAAGAACGCCAGGGCTTAAACGAAGAGCCGTTTCCGATACATGACGGGCAAGAGGGCCCACTTCAAATCAGAGCACATCCCTGATTGCACCAGCATTAGAGATGGAGGAGATATTTGATCGTCTGCGTTGCAATGCCAACTTACCTGTTTTTTACATTTCTGAACCAATACTCAAACTGAAAAGTCATTGTCGCTCATTGGATTTGGCAATGCGGCTCATTGCCATTTTTTAAAAAAAGAACCTGCATTACAGAAGATCTGCACAAAAATAGATATATTCTACTATCATACAAGAGAGCAGTTAGAAGAGATCTTCAAGATCATGTTTTCCAAACCCCAGAAAAGTACAGGAATCCATAACTACAGCATGCTCATCTCAGCAGTGTATAAAAATACACTAAATTAGAAAAAAAGTTGTTTGCAAATACTGTATAACACAAATGAAATTACAAATGAAAACAGTGCATACTTAGGGAAGTGTGTCCCAATATTTTTAAACAAAATTCTCAAGTGCAACAAGGCAAAATGAGAAACTAAAATGGATCAGGTCTTGCATTCTTACCTTACACAGCTATTTCTTTGTTCAAAACAAAAGAAGCTCCAGGTAGTCCTCGTTTAGTGACCACAATTGGGACTGGCAATTCGGCCATTAAGCGAAGCAGTTGCTAAGTGCTTATGATCCTACTTCAGCTCTCCTTTGCTTTAAAGCCCTGCAAAGGCCGTAAATGTGAAGATGGGTGGCAAAATGACTTTTTCATCAACATCGTAACTGTGAATGGTCACTAAACGAGAGAGTCACTGAACAAGGACTACCTGTAGTTTAAACATTGATTTCCAAAAGTACTGGGCATTGAAACATTTATTTTGCTTTGCAGATGTGTAGTAAAAGCTTGGAGCAAGTTGGAAAGGCTGTCTGGGAGATGGGACATGCTGTTTAGATCAGTGTTTCTCAACCTTGGCAACTTGGCTGGGGAATTCTGGGAGTTGAAGTCCAGACATCTTCAAGTTGCCAAGGTTGAGAAACACTGATCTAAACAGCATGTCCCATCTCCCAGACAGCCTTTCCAACTTGCTCCAAGCTTTTACTACACATCTGCAAAGCAAAATAAATGTTTCAATGCCCAGTACTTTTGGAAATCAATGTTTAAACTACAGGTAGTCCTTGTTCAGTGACTCTCTCGT